TGCCGTGCTCGGGAAGTACGGGTCGGACCCAGAGACTTCACCACATGGGGGGGGGGGGGGGCAGATTGCATGGTCCTCGGAGGCGAAACCTCGGCAATGTTACACTGTCTCCTCGGAGGCGGAGAAGGCCTCGGCATTGTTACACAGATGTTGCACCGTCTCCTCGGAGGCGTGGAGGAGGCCTCGGAGGTGCCTCGGCAATGTATTACATCGGCAGCGAGGGCGGCGAAGATGGAGGCGGAGGGCTCCCCGGGGAGAGGCAAGCCTCAGCCAGACCGAGAGCTTCAATGCAGGGAATGGTCTGCTCGCAGGCAGCATTGGCATAGGCGCATGCATTGTACCCATTCGGGTCCGTAAGCCAGATGTTCGCTCCCGCCTTGACCAGCACGGCTGCAATTTCTTTCCCGCCTGCATACTTATTCCATATCGCTCGGTGGAGAGCGAGCAGGAGCGGGGTTCTTCCCCGAACCATTTCGTCGAGGTAAGCGCCCTTGCCAACCAGGAACTCTACGGCGTCGAGGCTTCCATAGATGCTGGCCATCGATAGGGGAGTAGCTCCGTCGCTTGATCGAGCAAAGTTGACGTCAGCACCTGCCTCGACCAAGGCCTTGACAATGTCGTTTCTCGTCGCCATGCCACCTGCAGTGCCATCTGGCGTCGCCATCGCAACTATTGCCCTGATAAGCGCGGTGTCACCCTGGAAAATAGTCCGGTCGGGCTCGGCTCCCGCCTCGAGCAGCATGTTAACGATCTCAAGGGCCCCCGCATAGTCGCTGTGCCGAGTGATAATGACCGCGGCGACTAGGGGGGTGGTTTCATATTCCCCCGATTTTGTGTTGACGTCTGCGCCCGCATCGATGAGCAGCCTGGCGACCTCGACGTGCCCGGAATTGGCCGCCATCCCCAGTGGCGTGGATCCGAGACTCGACCGCGGCTCGTCGATGCCCGCACCGCCGTCAATCAGTTTCGTGGCGAGCGCGACGAGGCCTTCCGCCGCGGCGAAGAAGAGCGCCGACCAGCCGTTCTCCGGGTTCTGCTCGTCGATATTCTCCGTGTCTGCGATGAGAGCGTCCATCGCCGCTGAGTCGCCGGCGAGCCCTGCCGTCCAGAGCGCGGGGGGAGGCGCGGAGGGGGGAGAAGGCGGTGAGGGCGGCGACGATGGTAGCGGCGGCGAGGGCGGCGACGAAGGCAGAGGGGGCGAGTTTGGTGGCGAAGGCAGCAGCGGCGAGGGCGGCGGCGAGGGTGGCGGCATTAGCGGCGACGAGGGAGGCAGTGCAGAAGACCCAGAGCTGGCAAACAGCAGCTCGAGCGCCGAACCAGATGGCGCAGCGTTGACGGCGCTGATGATGGAGCCAATCAGAACGACGATGCACACCATTGATGGGGAGAGAGGGGAACACGTGTTATTAAAAAATTCGGGTTTGTTGAGGCCTTCGATGTTGTGAAACAAAGGAAAAAACGCAAGGCGGACACACGCACATCACTGCTCTCGGGCCCACAGACATCCCGCACACCCGCCGCCCCCGCGCGCGCCCCACCCCGGCCGGGAGAGAGGGGAGTGACAGTTTGGGCTAGAGTTTGGGATGGCAACAGTCGAGATACCTCGCACTCCATGTGCGAGAACGCAGAGAGAAATGAAAGCCGTCCGGCCCCCAAGTCCGGCTCACGCGCCCCGAGCTGACCCTCTACCGCACTGATCACTATCTTCCGCCCCCTCGCTCCCAACCCATCCACCTCGCCGAATGCCGAGGTGCTGCAGAACCGCGCGATCTCGGGCGATCTCGGGCCGCGCCGCGCTATCTCGGGCGATCTCGCGGTATCTCGGAGCCGCGCCGCGCCGCACCCCCCCCCACC